AGTCTTTTGATGAACTTTTTAAAAAAGGTGTGATGTTGAACTGAGTTAAAGACCACATGAACACAACAACAGTTCCTAACCCTAACAGTTCCTTCACTTCACTGACATCAACTTTATTCTCATTTACACCTCGTCCAATCACAGGCTTCTCTCTCTCTCTCTGTGTGTGTGTGTGTGTGTGTGTGTCAGACTGATGCTCAGAGAGGAAGCCCCCAGCGCTCCTCCCAAGAACATCGTAGCCAGTGGACGCACCAACCAGTCCATCATGGTGCAGTGGCAGCCCCCTCCAGAACCTCAGCTCAACGGGCTCCTCAGAGGTTACGTCCTCAGGTAACTGTTTAAAATAATAAATCCTTGTTCTGCAGGTTCTGATGACGACCCCTCACACCGTACTGGACCTTATTGGCCTGTGTTTCAACTTTGGGATTTTTATTGTTTTTGGTTTGGTAGAGAGAGTCATGCTCAGTAAGGAGGACACAATGTTGTTTTAGTAGTAGTACCACTACTGTCCAGCAGGGGCAGACGTTAACACAACGCTTTCTCGACCACTCTTCACGAATTACCAACTTTTTTTCCATTTTTTATAAAGATGATTAGTTTGTCTTGTCCGTGAACTCCTGGACATCAGAGCAGCTGTGGCGCCACCTTGTGTTTTCATTAGACACGTGAGGGAATAACTGTTGGCAGCACTCTGGGGGGGGGGGGGGGGGGGGGGGGGTGGAGGATGGAGGTGGGTTTAAAATTAAAAAGGTAAAAAACTAAAACTCCAGCTTTGACTTTGAAGCTTCAAAGGTCAGCACCGTCCGACCTTAAAGATCTGTGTGGGCAGTAAAAGTGAGACTGAGGTGAAAACAGCCGTTGCCATGGAAACAGTCAACAGTCTCAGTTGTTCGTTAGTCGTGGTTCTGACCCTCAGCTCAGACCAGACTAATGGATCGGTCCTACAGAACTGAGGCACCGAGTTACCGACTCCACAACGATGGGAGTGAAGCTACGCCATCAGGTGGTCAGTGGTCAGGTTGACCCCAGATGACCCCAGATGACCCCAGATGACCCCAGTCCTACAGCCAGTTCTTCACAGACACTCCAACACACACACATTGACATATAATAATGTGACAGTAGAACCTGACCTGAAATAGAAGTTCACACA